ACTATCAGATATTGTTGTACCATCTTTAATTAAACATTCTTTTTTTAAAATTAAAACCTTCGAGGTAGAGCAAATTTGGGGTACGACAATAAGGACTTAATCCAATAATCAAACAAATTATTACAATGCACAAGCTAACTGTAAGTGACTAACGTTACAACCTCTAAGACAAACTAATCTTAGACTTCTCAAAGATTCTGACCAACTGGTCCCTTAAGGAAAAATCAAACAACTGTTTGAACAAAGTTTGTTTACAAAAGATATGCTTCTACACAAGTTGATAAGTAAACAGATTTTCAACAAAACTAGACTAGAGAAATAAAAGCGTATGAACAGTCTTTGGAGAATATGAGTTAGCAGCCTTCTCTCTTTGTCTTCAAGCCTTTTTATAGTCAATAAAATAATATAACTATTGAAGGGTATTTATGGAACTTCCAGAAAGTTGGCAGCTTGAATAATTACGTGGTAGACAAGATCGTATGCAACATTCGTCCTTCAGTATAGTGGAATGGAATGATTTGTTTGTACCATATACTTTTTATACCATGCAACATTATCCTCTTTTGCTTCTAACGTCAGAGGCTTCTAAGTATGTGTTGGAAGAATGAAAATAACACTTAGGTCTTCAGAACTTCAAGTCTTTCGAGTCTTCAGAACTCCGTCTTTAGAATCTTCAGCACTTGGTCTTTAGAATCCTTTGTAGAACCTTGGGTCAGCAGAACTTCAAGTCTTCAGAATCTTCAGAACTTCGTCTATCAGAATCTTCAACATTTGGTCTTGAGAATCCTTTGTCTTCAGAAACATAAGTCTTCAGCATTTAGACTTCAGTTATAACTTTTGTCTTCAGATCTTCATAAATTGGTTTCTTGGACATGTATCAGAGTCACAACTTCAGAGTCTTCTGAAGCTTTTGCTACTGCTCATCAGAACTTATGTAGCTAGAAGCGAAACTTATTCTCTTCTAATATCTTGGCAGCGCCTTTCATCAGAAGCAGAACTTGTTTGTTAAATACTCAAAATAACAAACATTAGAGTACCAAAATTATTAATACAAACATACTCTTTATTATCATCAAAACTCAAAGATAGAATTAGAACCATATCTTGTTCTAACACTATCATCTCAAATTCATGTGTTATATATGTCAGTTAAGTGTATCAGAGAATTTTTAGTGGGTTTTCATTGGCTTGATGTGTCTACTCTGCAGGTTTGGTGCACATAAGTATTGATAATTCCACATCAGAAGTATATAGATTTATGGACCCTGCTAGGTGTATTTATCTTGATAATGTGCCGAAATCTCAAGCAGATGTTAAAAAATACATACAAGAAAAGTTTTTTATTTTTTAATTTTGATAACATAGATATTTTATGTGACTTTTTTGTTTCCACACACACGTACAAAAATCATTGGCAATTAATAGTCATTTATCCAAGAGACAATATTGTGGTCATCTTTTGTTAACTTCATCGAGAACTTGATCAAACCATGAGAAAATTTGTTACAGAGTAAGTTTATCTTTTATGTGACTTTTGTTATATATACTTATATATGCTATATACATAAATTGTTACAAAAGTAATTTCATATTTTATATGGCTTTATATGAATTTTTTTTCTGAATTAGTGCTTTTAGGGTTCATCAAATGGCAAATGGAAATAGAAAAAAGGCTATGTGGCTTCATTCCAATGTAAGCGTGATGTAAATTATAATTCTATATTTAATTTTATGATAAGTATTCACTAATATGTTGGATATTATCTCTGCCAATATAATTGAGTCTTGGATGCAGGTAATAAAAATAATTTTACATTATTATTTACTTTACATTTTGCAACTTAATGTGAATTTTCAAAGAATAACTTTATATTTTTATTTACTATTGTAGGTATTTGATGATCCATCAGAATTAACATAAGATGATTTGTATGATTTACGACTCTGTTGGGTAACATGTTTCGGTGAGTTACATAAAAATTAAGCTTTATCTGGTGAATTATATATATATATATATATATATATATATATATATATATATATATATATATATATATATATATATATATATATATATATATATATATATATATATATATATATATATATATATATATATATATATATATATATATATATATATATATATATATATATATATATATATATATATATGTGTGTGTGATTTGAGTTTCTTGACTTTGGTGTTGTCTGCTGATGTTAATTCATGTTATCATTTATTGTCAGCACATATGATTTTGGTGTTGTCTACTGAAGCTATAACTCATATTCTTGTGGATTGCATGTTGGTAATTCAAGTGTGGGAAAGGACTTATAAATGGTTGGATATTTTTGTATGTTTTCACGGGTTTTGTTCTTGTAGTAGTCCACAGTGTAAACAATTTATAATTTTACACACTTATATGTATCTAAGATTAGTACTTGTGTAAATCAATTGTTTATTTTGAAGAATATGTGCATCCTAGCTATTTGGTACAATGAAATTAACAGGTTGGTTGGAAAAATATGAAAAAATAGATACCAAATAGCAACTTAAATATGGTCTGTGTAATGTTAGAAAAATATGAAAAATTAGGTACCAAAAAAATTACAGGGATTCCGTCTCGATTCTGCTAAAAATAGTTTAATATTTTAAGAAAGATAGCATACATATTACAACGGACGTGCTTTGCAACAGATGTAAAAACCAATATTTTACATCGGCCCAGAAAGGCAAACGATGTTAAATGTTACATTTATTTTTAAAAAAAATAAAGTTAAACCCATATTTCACATCATACGTAACATTCAACCGATGTGGTAGATGTATTTTTCAGATCAGGCTATGGTCCGATGTAAAATATTTTTTATTTACTACGCCCTTGGCTTTACATCGGACCCAGATCCGATATAAAATGTGTTTTTTGCCCGATGTAAAAAGTCTTTTCTGCACTAGTGTTCCTATTCAATGTTGGACTATATGCTAACTTAGTCACACTTACATTATTATTCTAACACTCCCCACAAGTGTGAGTCCACAATGCTTCCCCTCCACATACACTTGTACAGTCGTTGACACCTTGTAACAAGACACCACTTCCTGAGCATTTCAATACAAGTAAGTCGTCCCCTTTCTTGAAACCAAAGGCTCTGATACCAATTATTAGTGCACAAGGTGATAAAATACAGAAAGAATGAGAGAATATATTTATTGTTTTGCAATGACAACTACAAAAGTTATAAGAAAGATAAAGATATGACATATATCACTAATCTATTTATACACACATACTAGTCACGTAGATAACATAATAAAATACTAAATTACCCTTTAATAATATACTTATATGTAACCTATTAGCTTGATGATGGGTGGAAGATTGATAAGTGTCAAAATTACTTGCTTCACATAAACACTTATTAACTTACATATAACAAGAAATTATATGAATCAACCCCAAATTTTTCATTAAAAAAGGAGATAAAACATATGTGTGAACAAGATGACATAAAGTGCACATTTGGTTACTTGTTCATATTTAGATTAGCTTCAATCTCATAGGATTCAAATAAGTAAGGAATTATGGCTTTGTCTTCATATAAGGTAAAGTAAGTTGCAGCCTTTTATGCTACATGTCAAGCATTTTTGTTGGAGATGTTGTTTGAAGAATTGAATGTGAGTAATTGTGTGCAAATCAAGCACCTAGTGAAAAATCAGTCATCAATTGACTTGGCAAATCATCCTATAAGCCATGGTAGTATTAAGCACATAGAAAGGAGAGGTGCTATTTCCTTAAAGATCAAGTTGGTAAAGAGAGGTTAAGTATTGAGTATTGCAAAACTGAAATGCAATTGACAAACATCTTGACAAAGTCCTTGAAGCATACAAGGTTTGAAGACCTTAAAGTGTTAGTGGGAATGAGGAGCTTAGAAAATCTGAATTATAAAGAGTATCATGAAGTCATTAAGTTTTATATATAAGTTGATAGTGGCAGTTAGAAAGTGTTGCAAGTATATTGCAACACAAGCAAAATGTCACATTTTTTCAGTTTTGGTTAGTTGGTTAACTACTTTCTTAATAATGTGAAAAGCTCTCTCTTTGTATGTTTGATCTCATTCCCTTCTAATAATACTTCTTTCTCACCATCATTCTCAATTCTCTCTTAATACAGTTGTATTTTTTGGTAACCATTTTTAGCTGTGATCCTCATAATGTTATCTAATTTCATTTATATCAGTAATTCTTTTTTGTTTGATAGTTTTTATTTAAAAAAAAATATTACGAAATCTTTTGATATTTGTATTTTTTTTAAGACAGATAGAAAATATATAAATAGAGAAAATAAAAAGAAGCTTACATATGTACAAGAGATAAGAAAACACAAAGGAAAAAGTAGTTCTCTCATGAATTTGGTAACCATGAGTTGAGAAAAAAGCACCAACTTAAAGCAGTATATCAATGCAAGAAGCAAATTTTATTTCTGTTATAAAGATTGACAACATCTAAAATACATTGAAAAAGCCACTGACTAAATACAAAGAATTACCCTCTCCATCAAAAAGAAAGACAAAGAAGATCTCACACTGATCAACTTCCTTTCAATTAAAACTATGATAGTGATAGGGAGAGAGACCTAACAAAACTTCAGATCATCATAAGGTAACAACTTTAGGGTTATGTTATCTTGAAACCCTCCAATGATTCTGAGTTGTAGCCATGGTCAGTAGGAAAAAAAATGAACAACATTAAATATAGAGACACAACAAACCATGTTCTTTATAGAACATAGAAATTAATTAAGACATAATTAAAAGACTTACCTCATCTTTAGAACGATAGTGAGTTAGACAAAATTACGTCTATAGATGATTTTTACTGAAAATCACTGTGATATGATGAAATTCTGTCGAATTCACTGTCAATCTAAACATGAGCGTAAGTTAAGTTATCAGCATGTAAAATAAGAAGTTGTTATAATAACTTGTATTGTAAGTTACGTTTAACTTGAAATTTTGAAATCATTGATATCTCTTGTGATAGCAGGAATGCAGCTTGAACTTCTAGCAAGTCCACCTTTCTTTTCACCACCCCCACCTTTTTCTCTAGGGTTGAATGACTTAGCCCTTCTACCTTCCATTTTACTTTTTTTCAGCATCTCTTTCATAGCTTCAGCTTGAAACAAAACAGGAAAAGTCCTTCCAAATTTGTTAAACCTAACACATGCATTCATGTGTTCACTCAAAGCTTCATCTTTGTTCCCTCCATTTTTCTCCAACTCTTCTTTCACTGCCTCAGAACACAAACCACAAACCCATTTTCCTAAGTATTTGTCGCGTATGCATTTTATGTACTCAGGTGTACACTCTTCCGACATGCCACAGCACTCACACTTTGCATCTTCGACTTCGGTTATTGGTGGAAGTGATAAATCAAAGTCTTCTTTTGATAACGCGAATGATATGTCTGAGATTGTTCTTTGAATGTTGTTGTTGTTGTTGTGATCGGATGAGTTAGGTTTTGGTGGTTTGGAGCATACTTTGTTGTTGGTTCTAGAGAATGAGCTAGGTAATGAATCTCCATGAGGTGCCATATGTATATTTCTGAATAACTTGATTTGAGTTTATAGGGTGAAATATTATTGATGACAAATTAGGGTATGAGAACAATGTTATTTATAATAGTTATAATGTGTTTGTAAGAATGTGAGAAAATGTGTGGATGTTAGAAATGCAAAAGTCAGTTATCAATGATCGTGAACATAATTGCTAGATTTTTCAAGAAGAGTTAATGAAGTGAATGCGATAGATACTAGCTTTTTGAAAATTTAGAGTGATATAGTGTGATATATAGGTGTGCTTTTTTCTCATCCATGTTTTTTTTACTATGCCAAGTGAATTAACTTCCACGCTTGGTAGTTGTGGCTGCAAGAATAAGGTGACTAATGCATGATTTCTTTCTTTCTATGGCTGATAATTTAGTTGAAAGGCAACCACATACATGTGTGTTGAAAGTTTCACGTTAGATAGACATATGGGCCAAGGCATAAACAGATCTATTAAGAGTTTGAGTGTTTTTTTATTTATGTGGGGGATGAAAGTAAATTTTGAATGAATTAATCGAGTAGATATGATTCTCTCTAAAAGTGAGTCGGAGAAAAAATTATTTAATATTTTAATAAATTTATGCAAAAGTGAATTGAACCTGTTAAAATTATGTTTGAAGTCAAAAGATACAAGTTTTAACTTCAAGAAAAATTAATTCTAAATACAAAATTAATTCAACTTTAGAAAAATCAAATATATCAAGATTAATGTTACTGTTCTAGAATCACTTTTGTCTCTCAAAAGTGAATCCAAACATACGTTTGCCTCTTGCCTACTTATAGTACGATCTTTCGCTAAGTGAGGGGTTATTAGAATTAGAGTTTTGGTCAAATTTTATCTCTGCAAAACTATTTTGTAAATTGAGGAGTATCACTTCATATAAACTCATTTTAAGAATTTTTTTTAAATAGTTATTTTTTCAAAAAAAAAATTAAAATATTTATCAAAGTAATCACTTTTCAAACAAAAAAAATTCGTCACACAGAGGAGGTGTCACTCTATGTGGCTCATGCATGGAAAATATAGAGGAGGCGCCACACTGAATGAGTTGTCCTCCTGTGTAATGCCATGTAATGTGGCGCATGCATGCATAATTATAGAGGAGGCGCCACCTTGTGTGGCTTGACAGTTATATATGGTTTTCTATAAATGCAACCACTCATCTTCTTCATTTTTTCACACCATTTCTCACATCACTCTTAAAAAGTGTCTTTCACTCCCTTGCCAAGGTTTTCACTTATCAAAAGAGATGCGCATGTTATTTTTTTGGCAACAAAGTCTCCGATGAAGATCAAACTCTAGAACACACAGACATTCGAGCATTTTCAGAGACACTTGATTCGTTGGTTGGAAGGAGACATTCTTGAAGGTGAACAGATCAGAAAAATTGAAAGACAAATTACAGTGAGGAACGAAAATTGAGTAAACCGATCATAGAAAAAGGTGAAATGCGACGCTGATGTCATGATTATGATGCTTGGACCAGACGATATTGTGTTGATGGTTTTTATCTCTTAGATATTATGATGTGTTTAGTTGTTTTGTCTGCTTATCAAGTTGTTGTGTTGTTGTCCTGAGTTTGTCGTATTATAATTTTTTGAGTCATTATCTGAAGGTTGTTGTAATCGAATGATAAATTGAATACGAAATGAAAACCCGAATTTAAATTGAAATTTCTTACTTACAAAAAATTAAATACTCCAGAAAATTTGCTATAAAAAAATTAGATTGCAGAGCTAGACCCAATATTCAGATAATTGTTTCGATTGTGTCCAAAAAAAAGACATGTACTGCATAATCTTATCATTTTGTTGACCGTATCCATTTAAGTTCTAATACGAGTGCTATTGGGGCACCCCCTTTTTCTTCCGTCGCATTTATTCATTGTGCCAAACAATGTCCCTTCGATAAGCAGACCAATAATCCTCCTTTTCCAAAATAGATAAGGTACTGATGTACACACTTAAAACGCTTTTTACTGTGTAAACGGGGGATATATATCGTATTGAGTCCAAGTGAACATGCGAACATGCCGCTATGACATGAGAGCAAGGCATGCGAAATGCTTGAAACTTTCCGCAATCACACCAACTTCTATCTAGTTCGACCCAATAATATCGCTCTGGCCTCCCCTCATTATGATCCATTGTCCCTTGTACACTGAACCAACCTCTAATACGGTCAAACACAGTGACACTATAGGTGTTTGCTTTGGTAGCCTCCTCCTTAAATGATTTCATTGTGCATTCACTGAACAACTTCCCTGATTGTAACACTGCCCTCCATTTTGAACATCTTGTGTCGAACAATGACCCCAACCTAAAATATGTTGCTCTAACCAATGCAGTAATTGGTAGGTTTCTGATGCCTTTGAAGACAGAGTTCAATTATTCCACAAAATTTGTTGTCATGTGGCCCCATCATTGACCATTGTCAAATTCCCGAGTCCACTTCTCCACTGAAATGTTATCGATCCACCTTAATACTTCTGAGTTTGTCAACCGGATTTCTTCGTAATAGTGTTGGAATGATGGTTATGTTAAGGCATACCTTGCATTAACAACTTTCTTTCGAAGTGTCATGTCTTTGATATGGAGTATAAAGTTTTATGTGATATTATAATGCAATAGACATGTGTTGAAGGGGGATCCTACCAACCGTTATCAGGGTTATTATATGCACTCACAATCGATGGATGTTTATCTGAAATCAAACAAAGTTTGGGTTGAGGAGCAATGTGTAATCGGAGATTCTTCAAAAATAAATTCCATGCATCACCTGTCTCACCTTCAACTAGAGCGAAGGCAATCGGAAAAACATTATTGTTGCCATATTGTGTCACTGCCATGAGTATTGTTCCTTTATACTTTCCGTATAACCAAGTTCCATCAATCTATATAATAGGTTTGCAAAATGCAAAACCTTTTTTGCATGGTTCATACGCCCAGAACAATCGATGAAATATTCCATTTCCACTGACACGAGTTTTGTCTGGGGTAAATGCCGGGAGTGTCTCCAAAATTATAACATTTCCCGGAGCATAATATTTGAGTGCCACCAAAAATCTTGGAAGTTCTTTGTATGATTCCTCCCAATTACCGTAGACAAGTTCAACTGTCTTGGTCCTTATGATCCATGCCTTCTTGTAAGAGGGAGTATAATTGAATCTTGTAACGATATGAGAAATAATTGTACTCACCTTTAATGATGGATCCTTGCTAATAAGAGGCAAGATTTCTTGACATATTAGTTTAGAACTAAGTTTTCAATGATCCTGCATTGGAACGGTAGTGGTGCAAGTGTGGAGTGGATCAATGGTACATATTTCCCATGAGTCACTTCTCTTCTTGTAAGATGCAGTTAAACGAAAAGGGAAAATTGGATTTTTACGATATAAAATAATGTACCTCCCTGGATTAGTTTGATCTATACTGAAATCAGCTAAAATCTCCATGTGGTATTTTTTTATAGCTCTAACACACTCTTCTTTTGTACGAAATTTATCTCCAACTTTCAAGGCACCTTCAGTCTGCATATAAGGATTGTGAAAGATATCTGAGGCTGGTTTGTCTTCCCCCAAATTCAAGTTCGTCATGTGAAACAGAGGTTTGTATGCATGACTCGTAGGTAGAGGTTCATGCTCTTGATCTGCATCGTCATTATTGACCATAAAATCAATCATTTCCTCATCATCTTCTTCTTCTTGGTTAATAACATCGCCTTCGTGGTGGTTGTCCTCGTCAGATTCATCCTCTTCTTCAAAATCTTGAGAAGGATCTACCACCTGAGATTGATCAGGTTATTATAACAAAACATACAGCTCAATCTCATTGAACCCTAATTGTTCATGAGTTCAAAACATGTTTTGAACATTATCATCATTCTACACCTTTAGTTGATAAAATCTGCCTTGGTTATTGTCAAATAGAAATGGAGACTTGTAGATAATTTGGTAAACTGGACCACACTGCAATTTTGCTTCTAGTCTATCTTTGAAGCATGCAAAACTTGATTTCTTGTTTGTCCGAAAGCAGATAAAATCGGTATTACGAAAATTAAAACTGAAGTTATCGCAGTTGAAAGTCTCACCGTTAATATGAGCAACAATACTATAATATTGTGAATGATCCATATGTTGAGGTATGTTTTTTGTGAGTTATGGATGTATACCAGTAATTCACCCTAAACGGACGGTTAAATAGACTGATGAAAGTATGGGAAATATAACACTAATACGCCATCCAATATGGCTTCTATTTTAACACTATAACACATGTGCCACCTAGGGTGGCTTGTCCTCTAATTTTTGTAATCATGCGCCACCTAGGGTGGCTTGTCACGTGAACGACAGACTTGCATGCATGCCATCTGAACATTGTCACACTGCAGCTTTGCATGCATGTAAAAGGGAACAAGTCATGTTGAATGGCGCTTTAGTGCAAAAACAAAAGGATGTGCCACCTAGGGTGGCGCCTATGTGTTAATTGGATGTAGAGAATTCTCAAGTGAATGCATAGTGTTTCTCCATATTTTCTTATAAATACATATAACATTCACGATATATGTTCATCACAATCATAACTCACACACTATTTATTTCTTGAAACATCAACAACAACACAAGAGTAACAAAAAAATGGCTCGCTTGACCATGGGTGATCAACATAGAGGAACTCTCAACAAGGTTTAAACATTTGTAAGTTTATTTTCTTCAATACCTGTTATTTATCGACAAATTTGATTTTTGTAGCTCTTATGATTGTTATATGTAAATCTTATATTTCTTATACGTAATTCATGTTTTTAATAGGATGTTAAAAGATTTTGTTGTCGTGTCCATGAGTATGTTCCTTAGGATGTACAAATTGAACAGTACTTACGACAAGTCGGTTTCGGTTTGTTACTCAACATAGTCAATTAACATATTGACTATAAAATTATTCTCGCATTAGTGGAAAGATGGAGACCCGAAACTCACACCTTTCAT